CTGTGCGTTATTTCGAGCACCTGTGCGTTATTTCGAGCACCTGTGCGTTATTTCGAGACGCACATGTGCGATATTTCGGATCAATATTACCAATCTTTAATAGACATGTGCAATATACTTATATTTATCGTGAAACTCTTAGGGGAGGGGTTGCGTAATTTCGGGACGCACATGTGCGTTATTTTGAGTCAAATGGGCGGTTTTTAAAAAAGTGCCAATTTCGAAATAACGCACATGTGCGTTATTACACGAAAATACGGTACACTAATATATCTACAGCCATGTAGTGAAGCAAAAAATATAAATCATGAGGTCAAAAATCTATTTGTTAACAAAGCAATGATTATAATGAAGAGATGCAAAAACTTCTTACAATGATCAAATTAACAAATAAAAATTAATAATCGTTCGTAAAACTATATTATGAATTCATATCTGTATTAGCAATTAATCAGATGGGCAATATTAGTATTTCGAAAATTGGTTTCCAGAGTTGATTATAGACCATCACATTATCATCTGCGGCATAAACTGCCCTGTAAAAAAAGCCGATCCATGTTTATATCCCTTTGTTTTTCATAAAATTTTCGTATTCACAAGAAATAATGAGATATTCAGACAAAATTTCTTACAGAGCAGGTACTCATATTTTGGTTGCAGTGAATCGACTTTCTACCAGTATTGGACGATGACAATATCATAATGTCATGTAATATTTTCATATGATATAGAATCATATGAATCATATGCTATATGATATAGATCATGCCATATTATTAATATATGACACTTCATATGATATTGTAATATGACAAAGTCATGTCATTTACATGATATCATCGTCCAACACTGCTTTCTACTGTGTTGGCAGATGGTGTCATATGACTTACATGACATATATGACCTTGTCATATAACAATATCATATGATAGTATCATGACAAAATGATATAAATTTATATCATATAGCATATGATTTTTCATCACATAATCTTATGACATTGCCACTTGTCAACACTGACTTTCTACGTAACCAAGAGCAAAGTTTTAAAATTTAGGCTTTTTAGAGAAATGATTCGATACATATGGTTATCGAATGAAAAAAAAAGCTACGCAAATTTTTAATCGAAATTTATCGCTAAATTTGTCTTTGAATAAGATAAACCTAAATAGTATTAAAAATTATAATATAAATAAAGTCAAATACTCTAGAATCGTCACATTCATTCTAGGAATCTGTAATTTTTTCAGTTGGTAAAGATTATTTCAAGAAGGTAATTAAGATTCCGGAACTTATCATTTATTATTGTAAAATACTTATTATTCACATGAAATAATTATACTATATAATTACAAATTTGCTTCAAAGTAATTAGCATATTAAATGTAATTTAGTCTATTAGATTTGTAGGATCAGCTAATTGCATACAATTTGAATAGGTCAATTAAATTTGCCATTGCTATACATAACATATAATCATTTTCTTATATAAGTACTTTTTACTACATTTTTTTTCAAAGCCAAAATAAAATATCAAATCAACAATGGATACTCGTAGCCAGTCTGTCTTAATCTTTATTATTGCATTACTTCTTTTCATTAACTCCTCTTATACTGCCGAGGATGTCAATATTGTCAAGCGTATCATATAGAGATGGGAAAAATGCGCATTTTAAAATAACATGCGCATGATATCGCATGATATAATTTTTTTTTGATTTTATATTTTCCCTCCAGAAAATATCGAATATTTGTCAAAATTTTTCCCAAACTCTTTTCATCTTTATGTTCATTCATTTTCTTTTCGCAATTTTTCAAAACTTCTGCATTCCTCTTTCTTAATTTTGCCTGGCATTATACACCTTGGCCTAAATTAAATATACTTTAATTTTCCTATATAAAATTTAGATGCGTATGATTCCGAATCATGCGCATGAATGCGCATTAATGCGCACGATTGATGAATCATGCGCACGCATGAAACCCATCTCTAGTATCATACCCCAGCCGCTCAAAGTCAAAAAATCTGGAGAGCATAAAATGATTGTTGAGGTTAGGTGGGATGGAACTGGAATAAAAGATCATGGTATGATGTACAACCAAGAAATAATTTCTACATTCTATTTAAATAACTGAAATAATTTTTCTTTAGAGAAAGTCATAACAAAACTTCACGGATGTAATCCTAGTGGGACTTTGACTTACAGAAAAGATAAAAAGGTAAATTGGATGAATTACCTTATTCATATATATTTAACTAAAATTTACCTTGCTTTCAAGAAACATAAATTTAGCGACCGTGAAACCACCTACGAATTAGCCGTTCATAAGAAGAACGTTCCAGTAGAATGTAAATTGGAATTTACTGGTGATCTCCCAAACAAATGTGACGTTTAGCTTTCGAACATGATTTAATTTATCAATATAATAATCTTATACCTTTAATAATACTTCCATATATACAATAAAATGTAACAAGCTTATAATTGTAAAATAACTAGACAATGATCAAGTAGGCGGATTCACCACCAGATTATAATAATTATGCGTGCACATAAAAATATTATTGTATAATTTGATAGTACTTGATGAATTAATGGGTTCATGCTTTTAAATTTACTCGAATGAAATAAATTGAGAGTGTCACTTGATAGTAACATTTGCGAATACGCTTAACCAATTTCAAATACCTTAGTTTATAAATATCCTTTTTTTTTGGCTGTATTAATTAATGATAATTTTTGATCTCTAAAATCGATTTTCGAATTATCCTGAAATAAAAATGTTTTTTGGATGTCCAAATAATCCTATATTCCTATACAGGGCTGTTAATCGGCCCGCCCGGTCCGACTTGGTCCAAAGACCGACCGTTTTTTAAAAAGTTGGACCGAACTGCGGTCCAGGGCTGATTAGGATCGATCAATATGAGGCTGGACGGGCCGATTATTAGACCAATTAAATGCTACATAAGTTGCATCAACATATTATATTATTATCTGTTATTATTATAACTCAATTCAAAAATTATTAGTTATTATTTATTAAATAAAAACTACCTCTAACAGAATATTTAAACCTGCCTATTATTATTAGTGATGTAATACGCATGAATTTTGAGAATCATGTGCATAATTTTTGGGATGCGTGTTATTTTCACTGGCAGCTTAGTTCACAGACAATTAATTCACAGACAAGTTCATTTCACCGACAATTAACTTACCGACAAGTACAATTATTTCATTGACAGCTCATTTCACCAATAAGTATTTTTTATAAATTATACAAACCTTAACTCTAATTCTAACCAGAATTTCATCGGTGAAATGAACTTGTCTGTTGTCTGTGAAATAATGGTCGATGAGCTAAGCTGTCGATGAAGTTATTGTCAGCGAAATGCGTACCACCCAATTTGGGTAGGTATATTTTAATGAACCTGTACCGTAAGCATATCTTGACAACAATTCTAATTAAATACAGTTGACCCTCTCAAAACCGATCCTTTCAAAGCCGATAACCTGTCAAATCTGATAAAAAATTAACCTACCAAGTCCGTTCCCGTTATATAAATCTATTAGTTTGTTATGTTTTCAAATCCGATAACCTCTTAAAACTGATACAAAGCCTGTCCGCCATGCATACTGATTCTGAGAGGGTCAACTGTATATTAAATTTGTATATCTAACTCTTGTTTAAAAAAAACCAGTTATTATAATAAATAGAGATTAAATAAGAAAAGACCCTATTTGAATTTTTAAATTTTTATAATTGTTTAAACCTCTAAAATTAACCTAATAGAGTACACATAGTATATGATAATAATGAGTAGCTTTTATCATATAACTTACGAACATATTAATACTGTATTGTAACTATTTAGTTTTAGACTATATTATTAAATTATTGTTATAGATAATTATATTAAAAAAATATAATCTGATTCTGCGATATTTGATCTGATATTAAATTTAGATCATGAACATAAATAAAATATATACTTAAAGTCGTGAGAAAACTTTTTATTGAGTTGATATAAGTCATATGCTAAGCAGTGAATACTTAATTACATGTTTGGTGCTTACATATAACTGTTCTGAATTTGGAAAACTAAATTTCTTTAGCGTAAATCTGGTGCATTATATTAGGACGGTCCTTTAGGTCCGTCCAAAAAAAGACAGGACCGGCCCGGTCCTAGGACGGACCGTCGGTCCATCGGTTTGGGTCGTACCACTTAACAGCCCTAATGGTCAAGTCATTTCCTTATTCGTCACAGATATTTGTCACGCCCAACGGAAAATGAAGGCGGCACTTATTACATTAGACCCAATTATTGTTTTTAATTTGATATGGCATACACCAATTATTGCGAGATTTTTTAAAAAAAAGCAATATTCACTTTTCTAAGAGTTTCTTATACGTATTATGCTTTAAAAATCTAAATTGATATTAAATAAATCAAAATAATGCGAGATTTCTTTATAATATAAGGTTTAACCAATAATACAAAAGTTAATAACATAGTAGATATAATTAATTCTAAAATTAATAAACGTACTGTATAAATAGCTTTAAAAAATATGCGCGTGGGTGTTGAAAGGTGGCAAGTGATTAATCTAACCAATAACCTATCGCCATTAAACATTCATGTGCATATTTTTTATAGCTGCTATTATTGACTATACAATTTTCTCTTATTATTTAGGCTACAAAAAAAAAAAAGATAATAAAACAGTGATGACATAAAATGCAAAAATATGAGAATTATAATAATATCGAATATTTTCTTATTTAGAAATCCACGCAAATATTCTTTGATAAATTGTTACTCCCTGACAAATGTGCAAATTTTATTAAAAAACAAATCATAATTTTATAAATCTCATTTGAAACTATCTCTTAAACCGTTTGAAAATCATGCCAAATTTGGCCTGAATTTTACTATAAAAACACTTCTGATCTATTT